AAGTTTGTGAAGGCTTGGACCAACCGAGTGACACATTTTGGAAACACAACTTCCTGTAGGGTGGAGAGTGCCCACTCTGTGTTGAAGGAGTGGCTTCAGACGTCCACCGGCGCGCTCGATACAGTTTGGCAGAAGATTAATAAGCACATCGATAATCAAGTGACTGAAATCAAGTACGTACTGCAATTTTTAAATGCGTTATGATATTACTGCATTAATTAATTATAATCTAACGTTATGTAACGTATTATCAGGACGGCGCTTGAGGCCTCAAGATCTAAGAAGAATACACGGTATAAGGGAATCCTTTTCACGAGCGTGATACTGAGGGTCTCGCATTACTGTCTGAGTTTATTGGACGCTAAGCTAACGAGGATGCATAAGTTGGGCACCGATGTTCACACTAGCTGCGGCTGTGTATTGCAGCTCACTCATAGACTTCCTTGTGCCTGTCTTCTCCGTAACGCAGTTGGTTTCGACATTCCGATTGATCTCAGAATGATTCACCAGTTCTGGAGAACGCTCGAGATATTAGAGCCAGGTAATTTACGATTAATGTTTTATTTATAATTTTATATTAAAATACATTATTTGGTTTAATTCATTGACTTTTTTATCGTATACTTGTAGAGACTGGTCATCAGAGCCAGGAGAGCCACGCTGCATGGTCAGATGCGGAGTTCTTTCAGACGCTTGTGAGTGAGGTTGAAACCCGCGATCCCGCGACGATGCGGTACGTGAATCAGTTCATGTACAGTCATCTTAGACCAACAGGATTATGCGGAACCTGAGGTTAAGGATGACCCGCGAGGTCGTCCCAAGAAAACTAATTCATCTAAGCGTAAACCATCTGCTTTTGAGTACAACAATAGATCGCGAGGTCGGAAATCGAGCCGTACGACCACTTTTTCGCGTGGACAGACAAGTTTGTCTTCTCAACAGTCACAAGGGGATGAAGGTCAGACATTTTTTTTTTTAAACATGGCTGAGCGTTAATTAAAGTATTTATATGATTATATAAATTGTGACGTCAAATTATTATGATATTTATTGCAGAGTTTAGACCGACAAATATATTTGAATTTTCAATGTGGCAAAGTATCCCCTGGCATATGTTGGACTACATAGTGAGTTACCTGAATGTGGATGCGGATGGTAACTGCGGATTTCGGGTCATCGCGAGTCACGTGTATGGTCACCAGAAGTACTGGGCAAATGCAAGAGACAGCATTGCGAATGAGGTCGACAACCACCGTGAATTGTACGAGTACATCTATTATAAAGATATCGACGCCGGACTCAGTCGCGTAAGGTGGGGCAAGGGCCCTTGTGGACGGGCTCACTGGTTCGAAGTTCCGGAGGACCTCTACGCCGTTGCGACCCTATTTAATGTGGTTGTCATTCATTTGAGCTCTGGTTGGCAAGGTGGGCAGCACGACTTATTCAACAACACAGTGTTGCCTCTCACTGCACGATCATCGGCTAGAGGACCATGTCGTGAGATTGGCATTTGCCATCTTGGTACCGTAGCACACTACATTCGTTTAGATTTGACTGATGATTGTCCATTACCGCCTATTCATAACATGTGGTTCCGTTACCGAGATCAATCGGTTGTGGGTTGGGAGCATCAGTACCTGTCTAGGTTGCAATTGTGGTATACTGTTCAAACAAATCGTTCTTGAATAAAAGAACGATATTATTCAGTTATGGTATGACGCTTCTCATTCAACTTATGTTTAGCAAAAAAAAAAAAAAAATCATTCAACTTAATGTTTTACAATAATAATTAAAAAAAAACATTCATTACATCATTATTGGGCATTGTCGTAATCCAACTTAAACTTAGCCAGCTGTTCTTCGACTTCCGCCGCCATCGGACATTCGCATCCCTTCTGCCAAATCGATGTAATGCCCAAAAGACGGTCCACCTACTAAAAAAATGGAAGAATAAAAAGATAAGACTAAAATTTATTAAAAAAAATTATTGTAATGAATTAACATTAATTAAAATTTAGTAACCAACTTACATAGGCGGTATTGACACGCGTTGGGACCTCGTTCTCGTCCGGCAGCTCCTCGCCCATGAGAGTCGGATGGGAAACCCGACTGTACCACTGCAGGTAATCCTCAGTCGCCTCCCCGCGATCCTGTATGGTGTGGGTCAACATACCGGTGTTGACCGTCCCAGAAATCGGGAACTGGGTCCAGGCACCTACTGCACCAGCCTCAGAATGCTCAACCTTATAGTTCCCAGACTCCCAAACACGTACTGCACTGATTGGCGGGTATATAGGGGGAGGGACAGTCTGGACATACCCCAGCTGACGCAGACACCGCGCAGGCAAGTACAGCTCGACGACATCGCGGTATCGAATCAATCCGCTATAAAGAGTCCTCAGCTCTATCGCATCTGGGTTGGAGCTGCCGTATGGCAACCATTGCACCTGTTCACAATTGCATAAGAGCATTTATAAAAATAATTATATTATTTTAAATAACGGGTAACTAAATTTAAATAAAATAACTTCACGTACATCGGAGGCAGTGAGTCTGTCGAGGCGCCGACGGATGGCTATGAGCCGATCGTCTGACCGTGGCGCATTCCCTACGCTCCACGAGCGTGATCGTGCGAGACAGTCAGGACCGATGGGTAGACGCCCTCGGGGTCGAAAATCGGGGAAATACTCATATATCCAAGACTGTAGAAGAGTCAAGCAGCCCGACATCTGGGCAGAATCCCCTCGGCTGGCAATACCTTGCTGTCTGTACATGTATGCCAGCGTAGCCGATCCCCATGAGTAACCCCCAATCAAATCCAAGCCGTCGAGCACCTCGTGCAGGAGCTTGGGGGTCACTCTACTACCACTCTTGTCGACGAACAATGTGGTAGCCAGCATCACCCACAGCCAGACACCCGCCTCATCCCTAGCCGGCCGGTCTTTCCCCCTGAATGCCCCCGAAATGGCGGCTTCGGACACCGAACCATGCTGCCAGAACGAACTCATGAGTTCGCACTTGGTGACCGAAAGTATCGACATGCAGAGGCCATGGCAGGCGTCCGAATCCGGGTCCTCAGTGACCACGACTCCCTCCATTGGAACGCCCAAAATGGCCCGGACGTCGTGCAGCATGATGCTCATTTCACCAAAAGGCAGGTGAAACGAGTTAGTATCCGGCTGCCATCGCTCCACAAAAGCAGAAAGGAGTGGGGTGTCCAAGTGGGTGTGCATGGAGTCGACCAAATGTGACAGCCCGGTCTGGTCGAGAAGAGCTCCCGCATCGGAAGACATCTCTTCACGCCAAGCCTTCAGATTCTCGATCGCTCGCAGTCTGTTGTGGCATTTCAGCGACCCCCTTAAATTCCCACTCCACATGCGGGAGGCGACGTGCCCAAGAAAGCTAGGGATGACACTCCCATCAATGGGCCCACCGGGCACTGGGCCTTTAACGATCCAGGGTGCACCATCATCGGTCTTAGCTCGTTTGCTAGCACCTGCATTAAAATACAACATATCTGTATATATTGACTTGCTGGCAGATGCATTAAATAAAATATATTTAATAAAATATATTTCATTAGTTACGTTACATCTTACATTTTACGTTATTATTATAAGCATATATAATTTATAATTATTAATATTATTTTTTGAATTTATAATTAATTACAATTTATTCAACTTACCCCAAATTACAAAATAATTATACCGTAGTTGAGGAGCAGGCCGATAATACTTTTCTAACAGTACCAATAATTTGTTATGATTAAGTGAAAATAATTTATGTTAAACAACAATAAATACGTAAATTATTTACCTGATGAGGATGCAGATGGGCCAAAACGCCTCCCAGCCTGTCATTGAGGAGCAGGCTGTGTGGGACGAACAACATGTACCAGACGAACATGCTGTAGAACCGGCTGTACCGGACGAACTGGCTGTACAGGAGGACGAGGGTGGTTAGGACCCGTAGGCTAGCCTGACGAAACTGTACCCTACGAGCCTCATCGATCAACGCCTGCCTTTTCGTGTCCCTCTCCCGACGAACGGACTCATTGACACCCCGACTTCTAGTGTGTCGGGTGCCAGAACCATCATAATAGCCATCGTACGCCTCGTCGTTGTCCCTGACATTAGATTGTCCAGGTCTGCCAACACCCTGAATCAGAAATATAATTATTAAAATTTTTCCATATGTAATGATTATTCTAATAACTATTAAAATAGATTATAATTTATTTTTCTTTTCATATATAAATTTTATTAATTATTATTATAATTATAATTGTTGAGATTTATAATAGTTATTATAATTTTTTAGTTCAATTATTATAATTAATACTAATTTATAATTATTATTATATTTAATTATAATTATCATTACAAATTATAATTATTATTTCTTATAATATTATTATTATAAGCATATATAATTTATAATTATTAATATTATTTTTCAAATTTATAATTAATTACAATTTATTCAACTTATTATTATTATAATATTTAATAATTATTATTATAATATTTAATAATTATTATTATAATATATAATTATTATTATTATAATTTATTATTGTTATTATAGTTATTTCTAATTNCGTCCGTCCGGAACCGACGACCGGACGGACGTCGGCCGTCCGGAACCGACGGCCGGACGGCCGGCCAGCTTCAAAAAAAAAAAATTTAAAAATTTTTCCGGCCAGAAAAAAAAAATTACCTTGTTGGAGAAGAGTCCTTTGTCGATGCCGTAGAATTTTTTCGACATTTTTTTGGATTTTTTTTTTATGCTTGAATCGTTCGTTGAAGTTCGGAAATTTAGAGAGATAGAAAGTATAGAGAGATAAAATTCAAAAAAAGGTTAAGGGCAAAAAAGTAAATAAAAAGTGACTAGTAAAAGGGCGGTGAATAGCAGTTGAGTTTTCCTATTTTATGTCTACTCCGTTCATATATATAGGCTGATGCTATTACAAAAACCTCGATCCGAACGTGTTCAATATTTAGGTATTATAAAAAGGAATTGGCATTTGGCACTACTTCTGTTGAGGTTCGACTACGAGAGTGAAATTGACTCACACCTGCCTAAAACCCTCCCATCACTTCCAACACTGACACACCTATTTTGAGCCTCCATTTTTGTTTTTCTTCGCATTTCGATAGAAACAAGAGAGAATAGAGATACTGCCTCCAAATACCTCGCCGATTTCTCCAAACACACTCTCGATTTATACATTGTCCGCCCTCCTGCTTGCTTCTCGCTATCTGTATCGACTCTCTCTCTCTCTCTCTCCTTCGAATAAGTGTTCTGAGGCGATGGCGCATTTGGTGGCGACGCGGCTGATTCACGGGTCGTTCGCCGCCAGTCCTGGCTCCGGCGCTACGGAGAACCTCGCCGAGAAGCTGAGACCTAGTTACGGCTTCGCGGCCAAGGCCTTGGCTCAGGCTGAGAGGAGTTGCCGCCGCCGCCGCGGGGGTGTGCCTGTCCGCGCCCCGATTACGGCGGCAAGATCTGCGCGTGTGGAGACGGAAGTGATCCCGGTGTCCACTGACGACGTTTCGAAGGTACCCCATCTCTTTCCCAATGAGCGTCTCTTCTTTTTAATTTATTTATTTTGTAGTTTTGGTGATTTTTTCTAGAACTCGGATCTGTTAAAGGACGAAAAAAAGCGTACTTCTTGGTCCATTAATCTCGTTTATCCGGACCTGGAGTTATTCATAATGGCTTGGTCTCTCTCTCTCTCTCTTGTTATTTTTTTCTGTAGTGCGCTAAATTGGAAATATTGACTTTAATATTCGGAGGTGCAGCAACGATAATCATGTGTAGAGCATCAGTTTGATTGTGCTAGTACAGCATATCCAGCTGCATTTGTTTAAATTTATAGTTTTCATTTTTTCTGTTATGGTGTCAAATTATCTATTTTGAAATGTTGTGTTGTTCAAACGTAGTGTTTCCGACAATGAGTTATTTACAATATAGTTTCTAATTAGAAAGAAGAAAACTTTCATGCTAGTTCATTGAGCTTCTTAAATTCGTGTGGTTGAAGCTTTGAGATGAACACGGAGTCTGGTTTTTATGAAGGTGGTGGCCAAGACTAAATGTTTCCCTTTGGATGTCATCTTTTTCAGTTATGCTCCATGTGTGGTCATATAGTGCTTCTCACTTTTATAAGTATTTAATTATTTTCTAGTATAGGCTAGGATCCTTTATCCTCATATTCCTGAGGCTTTTTGATTTTTTATTGTGCGAACAATCCAGCTTTTCAGCAAAAGAATTTTAATTACCTTTGAAATCTGTTATCAATATAATTCTTATTAATCTTTTGTCCGCGGATCAGGTTGCCGAGCAGAATCACTTTCTGCAGGGAATTCCACAACTTGGTAACACATCTGAGGATATGCTGCCTAAGCCTAATGTGAGGCGCAAGACAAAGATTGTTTGCACCATTGGCCCCTCTACCAACACTAGGGAGATGATATGGAAGCTTGCAGAGGCTGGGATGAATGTTGCTCGTCTTAATATGTCTCACGGAGATCATGCATCACACCAAAAAGTCATTGATTTGGTAAAGGAGTATAATGCCCAAGCAAAAGACAATGTTATCGCCATCATGCTCGATACCAAGGCAAGTATATTTTCTGTTTGGGTTTCAAATCTGTTGTTTACTGATGTGTACATCAGTTAGTTTGGGTATGCTCTACAGCATCATTAAGTTAATAGTTACAGTTTTTGGGAGTAAGGGTTGTTTTCATTGGTAAAGTTGATATAGGGCTTGTATTTTTTCAAAAAAAAAAAAAAGAAAAAAAAAGGAGCAGAAAAGAAAAAGTAATGGTAACTTTGGAAAATGCAGAAACCCTTGAGGTTTTCTTCTGTTTACTTTTGGCCCCTACTTTTAGTGGAAGGGACAAAGTTTGGTAGAATCTGTAAAGAGTTTACTAGGACACGCCACAACTTCTTAAAGTATTACAATTAACCCCAAAAGTGGAGAGGAATAACAGTAAATATACTTTATGGCATTAGCGGCTTCTAACGATTTGTTCTTACATGTAATATTTAGAAAATGTCGAGTGATGTAACATGTAATATATTTTATGACATTATCAACTTATGTTAGCTCACTAATTTCAAGTGGTAGGTGAATAAAAAAGGAAAAACAGAATTAACTTCCGGTTTGTTTATTGTTTTCCTTTTATACTAGAGTTAGTTGGGTTATTTGTGATTTGGAAAAACTTAATAAACAGTTCTTTTGTAATATCCCAAATTTGTTCTAGATGGCAGTTTTACGAAAATGTCTATTTTTTGTATGTATCGTGTCCAACTATAGTTTATTGGAATATGGGATGGGATATAATACAGATATATAGGGATCTGTTTGTCTGATTGCTCTTATTTAAATGCATTTATTCTGAACTCCGACTTTTGCTGGCAGGGTCCTGAGGTTAGGAGTGGTGACTTACCTCAACCAATCATACTGGAACCTGGTCAAGAATTTACTTTTACAATCCAAAGAGGAGTTGGCACATCAGACTGTGTTAGTGTAAACTATGATGATTTTGTTAGTGACGTGGAAGTTGGGGACATGCTCCTCGTTGATGGTACATTACTATTATGATTGCTGTGAAATTCTGTTTACTTTTTATCCAAAACAAAATTGAATAAAGAACACTGGATTTCTAAAGTCATTTCATCACCCAACCCAACATAAGATGAATTTACCAAAGTAATTGTTCATGTGTACTTTTGTAATTATGTATCTGCATGTACTAACTCGACGAGAAAATTGCTTTTGACTACTGCTTGACGGTGTTGCAGGTGGCATGATGTCATTAACTGTAAAATCAAAGACTGCAGATTCTGTAAAATGTGAAGTTGTTGATGGAGGAGAGCTTAAATCTCGGAGACATCTTAATGTTCGTGGCAAAAGCGCAACACTTCCATCCATCACTGGTCAGTCTAAAAATCGTACTATTAAATGAGGCAGTCTTTTTTCCCAATTCTCAACAAGAATGCACTACTTATGGTCCATGCTTGTCAAATTTCTTCCTTTGACACGCAACAGAGAAGGACTGGGATGACATAAAATTTGGTGTGGACAACAAAGTTGACTTCTATGCTGTTTCCTTTGTCAAGGATGCTGCAGTTGTTCATGAGCTAAAGAATTATTTGAAAAGTATATTTCAAGATCAACACTATTTAATTTAAAACACTGCATTGATAGCGTTTTTTGACACTAAAAAATATTTTTTTTTTCTTCAGATGCTGGTGCTGACATCCATGTCATTGTAAAAATTGAAAGTGCAGATTCGATACCGAATCTGCATTCCATAATTACTGCGTCTGATGGGGTAAGGACATAAATCTTAGAAGTCGGAACTTTTTCAAAGAATTGGGCACTACTTGAAAACATTGGTCGTAACTTGGTATACAATATTATTTGTCAAGTCTTAAGTGTCAAAAGTTTGGATCGACACAATTGCTTATCTTTTATGGAAACTATACGATGCTTGCTTTATAATAAAGAGTAAAGACTCATTCCTTCACTTGGCTGCATGAAAAATGCTAGCACAGCACATGTTAGGGATATATATCTTGCTGTCTCTTGATTATTGTTGTTTTAATTTGACGAATATTTTGTTTGACAGTTGAAGATAATGTTTTGTGTCAGGCAATGGTTGCCAGAGGTGACCTTGGTGCAGAGTTGCCGATTGAGGAGGTTCCTTTGTTGCAGGTATTTTCACATGCCTTCGATTAGCGTGCTTATAGTTTATAACATTGCCAAACTTATAGTATACAAAATCAATTTATCTATAAATGTAGGAAGAAATTATCAGAATATGCCGAAGTATGGGAAAAGCAGTGATTGTGGCTACAAATATGCTAGAAAGCATGATAGTACATCCGACTCCTACTCGAGCAGAAGTATCTGATATTGCTATTGCTGTGCGAGAGGGTGCTGATGCAGTTATGCTTTCTGGAGAAACTGCCCATGGAAAGTGAGTGTATATTTCATACAAGATACATCCTTGAGGCCGAGACTAACTATTCCTCCCCTCCCGTAAACAGAACAAATAAATAAATAAACAAATGGATAAAAAGGAGCTATCTTATCTTTAAAATTACAAATAATACCTCTTGAAATTTGTTTATATTTTGACAAAGGTAAATTGCAAAATCTATCCATGAGGTTCAGTCTAAATGCAGAAAATCCACTTAGCTTTTGAAACTGCAATGACCCTGCTCACTTATGTCGTACAAAACAGTTCCCTGAGGGGTCGAGAGTAAGCCTCCTTATGAGGTGAACCCGAACCTTTTGGGTTATTTGTAAAGTTTTTGAAGAAACGTTGGACTTTGCATTGTCCAAAGGAAATGGAATGGTATTTATGTAATATTTTCTGTGGGTTTAGAGACTTTTTAATCATTTAATTTGGTCAAAACTGATGGGCACACATGTAATTATTACTTTTTGATAGTACGCATATATTCTCATCACTTATATATTTTGTTGTGCATTATTTGTCTTTTTTGCTGCATGATTGAACTCGTTTCGCTTTATATTAGGTTCCCTCTAAAAGCTGTCAAGGTCATGCACACAGTCTCTTTGCGAACTGAAGACACTATAGTTGGCACAAAAACTCCTTTGAATCTTGGACATGCCTTCAAGGTGAGAGTAGTAATTTATATAGAAGATCTTCGTTTATCTCTACACATTCTAATGATTTACCCCTACATGTGAACATCATTAATGTTGTTTGTGAATTGTATACTTCCATTGCAGAATCACATGAGCGAGATGTTTGCATACCATGCAACTATGATGTCCAACACACTTGGGACGTCGATTGTTGTTTTCACAAGGACTGGTTTCATGGCCATTTTGTTAAGTCATTACCGGCCATCTGGAACCATCTTTGCTTTCACAAACGAGTGAGTCTTGTGAAATACCCTGCAATTAATAATATTAGTTACAAAGATCATCTTTTAAGGTTGTGCAATGCGCATGTCATGTTCAATGGGGAATTTCTTATGAAAAAAACAACCCTGGATGCATCTGAATTTTTTTCAAGGGGATAAAATTGAAAGATTAGTTTT